TCGACTCATCAAATACTTAGTCAACCCCCACGACCAGAGAACTCGTGATGACGGTCTTTTCGTCACGAGCCTGCCATATGTACTGGCGAGCGATGTGGTCGGAGAAGTCGCAGTTGTGGGTAGCGGCGAGTATTCTTCCAAATTCAGCGTCGGCGACCATGTCTTTGGGCACTCTTTCGCTGAAGGGGGTTTCGACAACGATTTCAGCGGAGCACAGCAGTACGCGCTTGTCGACGCAAGATACGTTGGCAGGGTGGCTGGCAGTGGCCTGAGCGACGACGAGGCGTCCACGATCCCTGTCATTGTGCTGGCAGGCTTCATTGCTCTCTTTGCGAAGTCCGGCCTCGGCTTGCCTCCTCCTTTTCCCGCAGAAGCAAAGTCATTCGACTACGCCAACACGACGCTTCTTGTCATTGGAGGCGGCTCGAACACAGGGCGGGCCACGATTGAACTCGCCAAGCTTGCAGGCGTAGGCCGAATTATCACGGTCGCTGGCCTCAAGAACGAAGAGACACTGCGAGCTTCTGGGGCCACACACATCATTGACCGACAAGCCTCGAACGTGCTTGAGCAAATTCGAGCTCTGACAGGTGATGACCTTGTGTATGCGGTCGATACCGTGAATGCAGGCGTGGACCAAGAATTGGGCGTTGCAGCGTTATCGAACACAAAGAAGGGCAACCTAATCACTCTCCGTCGAACTGAAGGCGAGCTGGACACCGATCGGATTGGTAGCAAGAAGTCAGGGTACGATCGACGCCTTGCATTTGGTGTATCTACCCTACACCCCGAAGTGACCATCCCGTTCTGGAAAGAGGTTCCTCGATGGTACAAAGAGGGTAAGCTGCGTCCCAGCAGTTTTGAGGTCATAAATGGATTGGATGCAGATGCTGTGAACAAAGCACTGGACAATTACCGAGATGGGAATGGGGCAAAGGTGAACATTCATCCTTGGGACTGAGAGTGTTATTCAAGGACGCTAGAGACTGGATACTTGATGAGGTTTCTACGTGGACAGGGCTCTATCATAACTTACAACGAAGGCAGAGGCTAGTCACCAAGTTACCTAGAGTACGATCCAATTTGCTACTTTACTTACAAACCATCACGATCTCAATTGTCTTCCACTACCTGTGAGTGTGCATTCACAGACCGGACCACGAAACCTGGACACTGGCCTGTGGTGAAGCAATGATTTCTTACCTACAAAGCACGCAGAATCCTCAGGTCCGTAGAGGCTAGAATATAGTAAGTCCCTGGTGTTGCAGGGTCTTTAGAGACAAAGGTCTAGAGAGTACATGTATCCATGCCGGACATTATGGCTTCGATGCAATCTTGCTGTTCATTCTCAGCGTGCCATGTCCTCCACGTCGTGAACGGCACACGTTCAGGCAAATCTTTAGCCTCCATCATTTGGTTGTACAGGTTCGCCACTTGCTGAAATTGAACCCGCATTTCTTGGCGTGGAAGAAGCAATGTCGTGCCAGATCTAATATCTTGGCTCACTTCTAGATGTTCAAAGAACCCCCAGTCAGTATTTTTCTGGAATTCTAGCAATGCTTGACACGCAACAGTCTCGTGATCAGGAGTATTCACCACATCTGGGTCGAGGACCGGCTCACAATGACTGGTGCAAGCGCGCAACGCAAAGTAATGCCAGCGATGCGCAGCAAGATTGTACTCCTCCTCGCGGTTGACTTCGTTCATGCGGTTCAGGGCAATGCGCCACTGGCGAGAAATTGCTGACGCCAGCAGCGGGTTAACTGGTCTTCCGATTGGGAACTTTTTGAAAGCCATCATGTTGGCGTTTTCCGTGCTCGAGATTGTTACGTTGGAGATGTGGGTGTGATGAATCGTCACTGTCTTTATTCTGGTCTATTTGGAGACGGAAACCCCACAGAGTTCGAAGCGCATGAAGATATAGGAAAAGTTGAGCCGAGTAAGGAACCACTCAGCATCTTTGATCATGACCTTGAAAATCTCAGCAAGCGCGTTGTGTTGGGGCAGACTCCAGACCAGATGCAAGGGGACCAAGTATCAGGTGTCAACATTGCTGTTCACCGCTCGCGACGAAGACATGGCTTTGTACCAGGAGTCTCCGTACCGTGGAGAATACTACTTCGGCTACTTTTCATCAACACTCACGAACCACGCAAAACAAGCGGTTGATCAAGCTGTCTAAGTACTTGTTGCAGCGTAAGTTGAGGACACGTTGAGGCTGTGTCAATCGGGTGGTGTCGGAAAAAAAGGAACTGGCCGTTGCTCGACTTCCATACCGACTCTAGCCTCGATCGTGACACAGGGGTTGCAATCCACAGTAGCTTTGCATGCATGTGTTCCATGCCAACCACGCTGCTGGCGAGAGCATTACTCAAAGAATTAGTCCCTGCGTCCCATCCAACACCGCCAATGCACTTGGTTTGACTGCCATCTCACTAGGCAACTTGTATCTGGACATCATATCATACCGCGGCTGTTGTCTACTGGTGTGTTATGACGGAACAATCAAGGATCCCTTGGTGAGGCCTGATCAAAGGTGATGGACACATGAACACTGCCTCGACATCCTTCGCTTAGGCGCAAGGGAGAGACAAATATGCGAATGCCGAATGGGCGTCGTCGACAGAATGCCTTGGTTGCCATCTCAGGGCAGCCCGAAGGCCTGGCGCCGCACCCGTGGACGCCGTGCGCCCTGTCGTTCGTCCGGAAGCAGCAAGTCATGCAATGCACTCCGAGGCCACGAGCTCACCAACGACCAACCCCTTTCTTGGCAAACCGCTGCTTCGGGTGCCTCTGCAGGCCACCACGCCCGACTGGCTCTAGCGAGCATGTCAAAGAAGCAGGTTGCGTGCCACACGTGGATCCACAGAGTAATCCCCTTCTTCCAGAAGGTGTGGTAGAAGCCGCCAACGGTAGAACAATCAACACGTTCCACGCTTTCTTGACATTGTTCTGCGCCACTATGGGGCTTCCGCCCGATTTGAAGCGAACGGGTCCCCCGATATAGCACAGGGATAGAGCGGCCTACAATATGATGTGACGAACGTTCGTTGGGCGTACAATATGTTACGCATGTCTCACCTACGTTGTGCAAGAACGGAAGGTTCCAAATGTGATTTGAGACAGGTTCGCAGATTCCAATCTGATATTGGTCCCTGCCTGTGACGCAGAGAGTACGTTGGTGATACAGAGCAACAGCATCGTGAGATTCAATCATAAATAGACTCGGTTCCGTTCACACTTTGAACGTGACAACCACAAGCCAACCACAAACCTTCTCAATTATTTTAACACGAACCAAAAATATTCACAGCAGCCATGAAGCTCTACTCTCTTGTGGCACTGCTCCCCATTATCTCGGTGGACGCATGTCTAACCGACATTGAGCGCCGCGGCGGTCATCTCATCGACCTCAACAATGCCCACAGCATCGCTCGACGGCAAGAAACAACCGTCCCCGGCACCGTCCCCGTTGGCAAAGGTGACCGGTTCATGGGCGGCAAGATCGCGCCCCGCGGACTGGGCAGCGGCGGCGCCATCCAAGAAATTGCCTGGAACTTCAAGGAGATGCAGTCGGCCATCAAGGCGCTCGAGAAGCAGTTCAGCGGCGTCGACTACTTCGAGGCCCCCTTCAAGACGTACGAGAACCGTACCATCTCGGGCATCAGCATCACCGCCAAGCCGGGCAAGGGGAAGAAGAAGCCCTTTGCCTTTCTGCATGCCGGTATTCACCCGCGGGAAAGAGGTGGTCCGGACCATCTCGTCGACTTTGCCTCTGACCTGCTCTGGGCGTTCCAGGAGAAGAAGGGAATCAAGTACGGCACTGTTGGCTATACGGCCAGCGACGTCAAGCGGGTCGTGGAGGCGGGCGTCGTCATCGTGCCGACTGTCAACCCGGACGGACTCGCATTCGACCAATCGACCAATGGCTGCTGGCGCAAGAACAGAAACCCAGAGTCGTCCACCGCGGGCGATGCCATGTCCATCGGCATAGACCTGAACCGCAACTTTGACATTGCTTGGAACTACACGCAAGCTCTCGCCCCCGGCGTTGAAGCAGCGAGCACCAACGCCAGCGCCGAGAACTTCTACGGCACAGGCCCCTTCTCCGAGGCGGAGACGCAGAGCATCAAGTGGGTGTTCGACAGCTTCCCCAGCATCGGCTGGTACAGCGACCTGCACTCCAACATTGGCATCGGCCTCTACGGCTGGTGCTTCGACTCGATCCAGACGACAGACAAGAGCAAAAACTTCAGGAACAAGAGCTGGGACGGCAAGCGCGGCCTCATTGCCAACGACACGTTTGACTACCGGGAGTACATGAACCGCGGAGACTGGGACAAGCTGCTGGAGATTACGGGCCGCATGGCCTGGGCTGCGAGCGATGTCAACGCGGCGTTCTACTCGGTGTACGCCGCGCCGCACCTGTACCCTTCCAGCGGCTGCTCGATCGACCACGCATATGCGCGCCACATCTTGGATCCGAAGAAGAAGAAGATTCTCGGAGTCGGTTTCGAGTTTGGATACGCGGGACCCGATGAGGAATGTCCTTTTTACCCGTCTCCCGAGGCGTATAGGACGGACAAGATGGAGGTGGGAGCTGCTTACATGGAGTTCCTAGTTAATGCACTGAGGCTTGACTAGTTGTCAGACTGTGTCGCGGTCTGAGGGGTCCAACATGGGCTCACTAGGTGTCTGGGCAGATTGAGCTAGGATCTGGGCGAGCAACGCGACTGCTGACGAGGAACCGCAAGGAACATGATGATGATGGGTTGGGGTTACTACGACACGGCATCGGTTGATGCACGATTCACTTCCTCTTCATATTTTGCCGTTACAGCTTGAGCCTCGGCCTTCGTCTCGGTCGAAAGCAGCTGAATTGGTATTATAAAGAAACAATTTCCGTGATACGCTTGTTTTTGCATGCATGCTCTTCGTAGACCTGTCAATCTGTGCCCAGTTTCCTAGATGTACTCCCCTTATCACACCGGCAGACATTTTCAGCCCTCCCATGTGACTCGTTTCTCCCTAAAGATGCTGACCATGCCCATCGGCAGCAACCCGAAATCAACAATATTCAGCCCGCCAAAACGGTCCACAATTTCCGGTCCATACAGCATGGCCACCCACTGCCAGTACGGCTCCATCGAGGCCCAGTTCGAAAAGATGCCTCTCGGCCTCGGATTGCCGGTCAGGTTACGCAGCGCCGAACTGATCGTACCCGTGTCTGGCGACAATGTGGAGGGTGACGGCTCGACCAACATCTTGCTGAAAAGATCATGCACCTGGACTCCATTGTCTTCGAAGCGGAGCTCCTCCCTGAACCGCGTGTAGTCCTCGAAACTGAGGAACGTCTCCTGCTCCTGCTTCGATTCGGGCTTCCAATCCGGGTCCGCGAGGCTGTAGTGCAGTTCCTCAATCTCGCTGCTGTAAAATCGCTCCTTGGCGGCCTGGTAGCCCTCACGCTCGCCTTTGTGGAAAGCCTCCAGCATGGCAGACGGAGACTCGCTGAACGAATCGCGTATCTGGAGAAGGGTCACGAATGGCGATTTGAGATCCAAGCCCCCCATCTCCACGGGGAAGAAGATGTAGCCGTCGGGAACATCGTCGATGCCGAAACGGGTCTCGATAGTCTTCTTGAGATGGTCAGCGACGCTCGTTGCCCCTGCTTCGTTGAAAGAGGTGGCAAAGGACGAGAATATCTCCTTTTGGATCCGCTGATGGGTACGCAGCATATCGTCCACGTGCTCGACGCCGTAGCAGCATGCAGGCTTGCCAAAGTTGGCGGAGAAGAATGTGTCTGCGTACGTGTTCCAGGTCTGGATGAAGGCGAAGACGCTCTTGTTGCTGCCGACGAGCTGTTTCTGGAGCTCCTCGACGTGTTTGTCTACCATTGTCTGATCAATCTCGAAACGGCCCGTGGTCGACGAAAGTCGGAGGAAGCCCCATCGGATCTCACCCTTTGGAAGCAACTCACTGACCGCTCTGGGTTCGTGAGAGGCCTGGTCGACTCGGACAGCCCCAGTCTTCGCTGGGTTGAGCTTGGTGCCGGTGATTCGGGCAAAGTTATCCATCGTCTTCCATGCCGTTACTGCTTTGGTCTCATCGTTAGACCAGAACCAAACGTCATCGTGGATACGCCATATCGTCTGACCCTCGGTCGCCTGATTGACGGAAAAGTCTAAGCAAAAAAGGATAGATTCGCCAAAGAGGTCGCTGAGGGTGTGAGAGGCGGGTGTGCCGCGGAGACGCTTTCGAGTGCTGACCGTGTCATCGTCATCCAGAAACTTTAACGGAGCTTCGAGGAAGTTCTGGAAGAAGGAAAGCCACTGCTCCGAGACGCCAAAGAATCTGAGGACAGCAAGAACCGTCTGGTGTGGCAAGAGCGGAGCCCAGCTGTCAAAGACAGAATGGAACGCAGTCACCTCCCCATGGAGGCTTGTGCCAATGGCAATCTCCGTTGAGAGAATGTGAAGGATCTGCTGCTTCAGCTTCATGGTGTTCTGCGGCGTCGCCGTAGCAGAATCATCATCCCCGTCGCCCGAGCGGTCGTCTTCGGAATCCGAGGCTTCGGTATCTTTGAACGTGGCGATCCTCCTGTGTCTCTTTGCGCCCCCGACACCGAGGCCTCTCTTGTACACCGGCGAAGAGGCTGCAAAGCCATGGCTGATGAAATCCGACGCTGGCTCTGCTGCGTTCTCCCAGTCTGCCTCCTCTTCGCCGTCCGCATTGTGAACCTGCTGCGTCTCAGAACGCAGAAGTTGAGCCAAGAAGTAATCCTTGTTGTAGAGATCCCTGCGGCGGTCCTGAAGACATCCATTTCGGAACACAGGTCCCAGGTAGTATCCCAGCCTTTTCTTGTCCGTCTTGGAGACTGGATTGCGTCGAGGCGTCCAAGCGCCCTTTGCTCTGCGAAACGTCGTGAAGGCCCTCTTGAAGAAAACGGACCACTTGACGCCAATGTGCTGCAGGAAGATGGCCTGCAAGAGGTCCTCGTGCATCTTGACGTTGTACACGCCGCTGATCTTGCGATGCTGCTCCAGCAGGACCTTGTCGCCCCACGACCAGGTCGGCAGGGCCGCGATGCGCATGTTGAGGACGTCAGCAATCTCCGCGAGGATGACATTGTTGCTCTTGAAGTCCCGGAGCACCTCGCGCTTTTCATTCGTCAGCAAGTCACTGCTGAGAAGTCCGGTGATGGCGCGCAGGAGAGAGGCATTGGTGAACTGGGTGGGGTCGGACATGGATGTCTCGAACACGGCAACGTCGCTTCGGAGTTTCTCGAGGGCGTCGCGCAGCTTTTCTCTCTCTGGGTCACCACCGGCACCAAACAGCTTGGCAAGGTATCTCTCCAACGCCTTCACGTCGACGTTGGCCGGCTCGAAAACCGTCTTCTCCCACTCGGCCCGCGCCGCGAGCTTGGCTGCGCTGCCGACGTCCTCAAAATCGTCCCCCATCTCGACATCAGCATCCTCCTTCTTGGGCGCCGGCGTGCCGTCGCCAGACAGCCACTCGGTGACGAGCTGGCCGTAGAGATCCGCGTACTGAAACTTGAGCGACTGCGTGCCGAGGTGACCGAGCAGGGAGGCCTCCCACGCATCGAGCATCTTGGCGGAGACGGAAGGGTCGTGGCGCGCCTGTTGGAGGAACCGATCCAGGTTCTTGAGCTCAATCTCGAGCGGGCCCTGCTTGCCCGCCCGCAGGACGACGGCGCCGTTCTTGTCGACGGCGACGCCGAGGCATCGCTTGACGCCGCTGCTGAGGGCCTTGATCCGCGCGACCTTGTCGGTCTCCTCGTCGAGGTAGGCGAGCACGGCGGCCTTGGAGGTCTCAAAATTCTTGCGCCGCTTGGAAAGCTCCTCGAGCTTGGTTTTCGTGATTTCTTGGAGAGTCTCGGAGAAGACGCTGCCTGATGAGGCCATGGTAGCAGTGGAGGAAGCCCGCGGAGCTGCTGCCTCGTGTCGCTGTTATGAACCTCGTACGATGGAGGGCTTGCAAGTGTGAGAGGCTCCTCAGATTCTCGACCACAGCTGGACTCTGGTATCGGTGAGTAGGGAAGAAACTCTAGAAATCTCGAAAGAATGAAGAGGAAATCGAGGGCCAACGGTCAATTATATCGACGAGCCCCGTATTGGTGATCGTACTGATGATCGTCTAGGCAGTACAAGGCGAAAGAGGATCTACTGATGGCAGCCAAGGACCAACGGGGACTGTGGAGGTGGAGGCACAGTTGCAGTGGGTGGGTGTATGCCGCAGGCAGCCGTGCCAGTCACACAGGTTTGCCTTGTCCTCTGGTTCGCGACCGCTGACTAAGACGCAAGGGAACCCCTGAGCCCCTTTTGCTTCAGGGATCGGCTTCAGGGATCCTGCTCCTGCACGACCATCGCCAGCTTTAGCACCGACAATGGCATCGAATGATGTGACTCATTGGCACTTGATTCGAGCCTCATGGTCCGCGGACGTCCATCGTAGGCATATTTCGGCATGTTGCATTCAATGTGATGGCGGCATGGTAAGGAGAGGCGCTCCCGAGCTCTTTCTCCCCAGTCCAACACCACGGCAAGTCATCCATAGTCATCAAACTCCAGATGCAACAGATCTGTCATTCCATGGTATCAGCCACCCTGTACACGAACACACCAGCAACCTTAGTCGGTCACATCTAGCCCTCTCAGCAGCGTAGCACGATCCAGACGACAAATCCCCTAGGATACAAATACCTTTCCCTCCCGGAATTAAACGCAGCAATATCTCGCCATCTCTAAGCCAGACATATCTTCATCTTGTTTTGCAACAGCATCGAAGCCATCGCACTTTCGTCCTTCTGCAGCCGTCTTGGGCAAAGCACCCTTGGCCGATAGTAGAAATCAAGCCGCGACTCAAAGCTCGTCACTGATTGTCTCGGCATAACCCCTGATGCCGTGACCGCGATCATCGAGACCGCCCATGTCATCGGCCCCATCCATTGCCATGTCGACGTCCTCGGTCTCGCGCTCCAGCTCATTGATGGAATCCATGGCCTTCTTCAGCTTCTCAACAGTAAGCTTGCACGTCTGGCGCTTGCGAGCCGTCGTCTCCTCCTCGTCCATGAGGCGATCAAATGCCTCCGGACCGGCACCCATCAGCCCCAGCTGCGTCTCGAGGTACATATCGAGCTCCTTGACGATCGACGGAAACATGCGTGACGTCACGTAGAGCGTCGTCGTTTCGGCGAAACGCAAGGCGGCCAGCCGGTAGTAGCCCCGCACGTAGGCGGCAACCTTGAGCTCCTTCTCAAAGGGGTCGGGGCCCATCTTGATGAGCTCCACGTCATGGCGCCTCTGCTCGCTGGCGCGCTGATCGGGCGTCATGCGGTCCCAGTCGCTGTTGAAGTGAGACGCGGCCGTCTTATCGCTGCTCTCGCACTTTTCGCCGACAAAGGCTTGCCATCGCACATGGTGGCGGTACCGCTTGAGCAGGCGGCCTTCCTCCAGCTCGTACAGGGTGAATGCGTCGTGGTTGATCGTGAACAGCTGGTACGACTCCATCTCGTACAGCTCCGTCAGGAACTCCAGCGCCTTGCTCCGGCGGCTGCTGAGAAAGGCTTCCATGTGCCTCTTGGAGTCCTTGAAGACGAGACGTCGCTTGAGCTTGCCGAAAGCCTGATCCAGAGCTTGGTTGACTATGACCTGGAGATGAGACATAACCGCCTCCAGAAAGACAAGCATGGGATGGTTCCAGTGCTTCACGGCGAGTTTACAGAGATCGTTGTACACTTCGCTCGGGACAATGTTCGGCATGCCAGCCTTGGTCTTGGCCTGGATATCTTCGCGGATCGCCCCAATGCTCCTGAAGCCCGAGCCCAGAGATGTAAAGTTCTGGAACGGAGCAGGAAGAACAGACGGCCGGACGGAGCCGCGAGATGGCGTGTGTGGGGTCGGCGTACCGTTGCGCACAGCGGCCTCTTCCGTCTTCATGTGCAAGCCGGCCTGTGAAGCCTGGGAGAAGCTGCCGTTGCTGCCGACGTGCCGGGGTCGCTTGCTCGCACCGTTGGAGCTGGCTTGTGGGCCTCGCTTGCGGCTCGCACTTGCTGGCTCGTCGTCATCAGAAATTTCGAGAACTGGTACATCAGACTTGTGCTTGAGCGAAAACTTAGGCTTCGCGTGCAACAGACATTCGCGGAAAGACCCCGCGAGAAGACCAAAAGCAGAGGAGAACTCGTTGCCGGGGATCTTGTCCTTGACGATCGCTGTGAATTCGATCAAGCTTTTGCGCACCTCATACTCGATGTTGGTGGGCAATTCTGGAAGGTTGTTGAGCCGCTTCTCGTTCTTGCGAAGCTCGTCGAAGATTTTGCTCTTGATAGAGGGAAGGCTGCGGGTTGTTCGTCAGCTATTGAAAGACAACGCATGTTGAGATCCATGGGCCACTTACTTTTTCGCAAACTCTTTCCCAAGTTTTTCGGAAAGAGCTTCCTTCAGTCGTTCGACACCACATCGATCTGAAAACTCGGCAAACTCCTCTGGCCAATTCTCATGCTTGCCATTGAACAAGGCCTCCTCCCACTGGGTCTGGCGATCCAGGTCCTGTTCTGCACGCCGAGAGGTGATGAAGTACTCGTGGCCAATAAGGTGACGCTCGCCACGAAGCATGGACAGCCACTGGCCATAGCTATTGCTACCCTGGTTCGGCAGCAGATCAGCCTTGGTCATGACGCCGATGGTGCGCTTCTGCGCGCCAACTTTGCGAATGATGGACAAAGTAGACGACGTTTCCGGATCGGCATTCATGGGGACCGCCCAGATGATGAGAGCGTCGTTTTCCGAAATGTGCTGAACCGCCAGGTTTTCGACAACTTGAACAAGATACTCGTCTTCCTCATATCCAGAATTGCGGAAGATGCCGGGCAGATCATAAAACGAGAGATCGGGCAGGTCAGGGCCCTTGATCTCGAGTGCCACAGTGTTGGGGCTGAATTTGGCAATGGTATTCTCGGCTTCGACGGCAAGTTCCCTAGTCCTCGCGATGGCGCCTGAGCCTGGAATAAACAAATCCGAGTTCTGGGCATAATTCAGGATCGCCACCTGAGCCCAGCGGAGAACAGTTTCGATCTCGCTTTTGTTCCGTGAGTAGATGGTCATGAATTCCTTGACCTCACGATTTTGTCGTCGGACCCAAGGCGGGAAAGGGTTCTCAGCGGTAACGTCATCCTTCGTAATGGGCTGCCCGAATGGAGGTGGGCAATAGTCGTAATCTAGTTGCAGACTAACACGGCACGACCACTCGTTGTTTCTGGAGGCACGGATGTGAATTGGGCACCTCGTGCAGACGCCATCGCTCCGAGGAAGGGGCAGGCCCGCGACGCTGGACATCAACATGGACTTCCCGGCCGACTGGTCTCCAACCATGATGAGGCTCGGGAGTGAGACAATGTGTTCGATGCCCAGCTGCTGAACGTCGCCAAGCGTGTCGTTGCACGCCTTGAGCTTGGCGCCGACATTTTGGAAGGAGCCCTCCAAGAAGCTTTCGCCCAAGCCGGGCGTCGACTGATCGTGGGGCATGCCGCGGTTACGTACTTCGAGGTAGACGGGCTCGCTCCCATCCACAGTGGAAGTACGGGCTTGAAAGACAGTCGGCGGTGCTTCGTCGATTTAGTTGATCTATTGCTGGTGAGGCTCATGGGGGTAGGCGAGTACTTACGGGCATCCGACCTCATGAACGATTGAGCGACGCTCTGCGGTGGCCAGTTGGCCGGTGACTGTGCTGTGTGCCACTCCGACGAACGATGCTGAGCCTCTTCTTGGGGTGCGAAGGTAGGAGCAGGGTTTCTGGGCGACGCAGGGCGTGGTGGTACCGCAAACTGTGGGATGGTCGTCGTCGAATCCGAGTCCGTGGATGATCGTGACCCAGGTTCCAGTTTTGGCCGAGGTGTGAGTGGGGTGGCCATGGTGGTGAGAGGAGGGAAGAGCTGGCGAGGATGCCACTTGAAGATAGCGGGCCTTAATATCACTGGATTTGAATGGAAGAGGAGGCAGGAGCAGAAGAGGATGGGCTGAGGCAGCAGGCAGAGAGATTCAGGCAGTGGGGGAACCCAGTGTTGACGGGAAGGCTCACGATTCCTGGTCAAAGAACCCTGAGGGACAACAAGATGATTCTAGAAAAAATCAAGCAAAGATCTTTGAGCGAGCAAGAGGAGAACGACAAAGCGTGTGATGTTCTGGGGGAGCAGCGAGGTTTTTGGGGTCTCGTCGTTCAAGTTCCCTCCAGGGGCAAGGACTGAATCTCCTGTGGTACTCGAAACCGGCTCATGGCCTGTTAGGCGATACCTAAGGGGGAGGGAAGGATGTCCTTCTACAGTATGCGAAGAGGGGCATGCAAGGCGATTTGGGAATTAAAAAACATCTCGCACCGACATGGACATTTTGACCGCATTGGAGACCGGGTAACGAATCTGATGGTGTCGCGTTGCCAGAAGGGGGTTCGTGGAACATGTACCTTTTAACGACGAGTGTTGCGAGGTGGAGGAGACGAGGTGCATGAGATGTGACAGGGATGAGCAGCTCGAGCTGAAGAAACAGGTGGCTGGCAGGTCGCGAGGCAGCACCCCCTGTTGACTTGACTCGACGCGGCATCTCCTTTGATCTGCTCTAGCATGTCTTGCTTGTTGACTACCACGTAACTGGGTTGCGACTATTGATGTTCCATCCATTTGGTGCGCTTCCATGGATGATGAACACCTGGCTGCATTGTCATCCGAAATGCCCCGGCAAGGGCGAGATAAATCTGGTTGGGTGCTGTTTGTTGGCTTACATGGCACATGCACATTTCGCGCCAACATGATCCCACCATCCACCAGACTCAGACATCGTAGGGCAACATTGTGTTCGTCCCGGGTCATGGTCATCAAAAGAAGAAAGCCGTCGCGTCGCCCATGGACGTCATC